AAATAATGGTTATCACCCGTACGAACTGTGCTCCTTTAAAAAAATCACCTATATGAGACCAAAGATCAAGAATCACTTTACAACAAAAAGGAGAACGTAAGGGGGTAGGGAAACTAGATTAATGGAAACAGAACAACCAGAACGGAAATAATGAGAATGTTGACATACTGTGAAGAACGTAACCAATGTGACTGAACAACTTGTGTAGAAATTGCTGAATGGGAACCTAAACTGCTGTGCAAACCTTAACTGAAAGCACAATAAAATTTTTTTTTTTTTAAAAAAAAGTCTGAGTTCTAATCCCTTGGTCACTTCCTGGCTGAGTGACCTCCACCAGTTACTTCTCTAAACATCACTTTCTTCATCTGCATAATGATGTTGATACCAGTGCCTGCCTTACAGGGGTGTGTTGAGACGAGATAATGTATCACCACCACCTGGCACATGGGAAGTACTCAAGAGGTCTTAGCTATACTGATTAATCCACTCCTAGCTCTTGTCTTGAACTGACTCAATGGCACTTAACAACAACAGCAGCTCGTCTCAGGCTTACTGGAAGTAGGGCCTGGGATGAGGACTCTTGGGCACAACTTACTGAGGTCCTGTGAAGGTGAAACTGTCACAGAGGAAGGGAAGCTAGAGAAGGAGAGGAAAGACACTGGCAAAGAAACAGGCTCAGCTGAAGTCCAGCCTCAGCACTGTCCCCTTGTGGCCAGGAGGGCCTGTACCACAGCGTGGCCTCCCCAGCACTCCCTGGGAAGGCAGCTCCAGCTGGGTGGGGCAACTCTCCCAAGCGCAGGGCTATAAGAAGTTAGCGGCAACACTCCTGTAGGGCTATGAGAAGTTAGTGGCAACACTCCTGGCAGCAAGGCAGCATGGGGGATTGGGACACCTACCATAGGCATGGTGATCGCCCTGCTTTTCAGACAAGGGCAGGCAGGCACAGAGGTACCAGTAGCTCCCTAAGGTCTAAAAGCACAGAGGTTTGTGGCAAGGACTCTCAAGTGTGGCATGGTTAGTATCTGAGGTGGTAAGGAGGCTCTAATCCAGGGGCCCCAAAAGCCCAGAGGGGCCAGGCAGGTACAAGAAACAGCACAAGAAGGCTACGAGATGAGAATGCAGATTGTCCCATGTGACGGGGGTGGGGGGGTGAGATGCTGTGGCCGACCAGAACACACAGGCCCTATTAACAGGGTGGCTAGGCAGGAAATAGGCCCAGATTTGCCAGATCTTCGTTTTTCAAGAGAAGCCATAAATCTGGACATTTTAAACAAAACGACCTGATTTTTAAATACTGGCTCAAATTCTCTAAAATACTACATGGGCCAAGCTAAACACACGGCAACATGGATCTTGTCCTCACCAGGGTGTGACCAACACACACTTCTGTCTTGCTGCCCTTCACTGCCTATGCTTGTCTCCCAAAAACCTCAGAGGCTGGCCAGGCCCTGTGTGTTCAGGGTCCCCGGGCAGGTGTCCTCACTCACCTCTTCCATGTTGACTTCGAAGGGGCCAGCTGACTGGCACTCAGGACAGGAGCCTGGCTTCACCTCCTGGTTCTGTGACTGGCAGAAAGGTCCCAGGACAAAGTTGCACTTGTTGCAGTTATACTTGACCAGGCTGAGCTGAGGCAGGACGCCTGTGCAGCTGGTCACCACCCCACTGGTGCGGATCAGCTGATTCAGGTGCAACTGTCTGTGTGGGGAGAGAGGGGGCACTGGGTCGCTTTGATCCCCGTCCTCCCGAGGGGTCAGAGCTGCACGTGAGGGCTGCACGTGATCTTGAGCTGGACTAACCAGATCCCACCCGTTACACCCTGGCCATCCCGGAACACACCCTGGGATGAGGGCTCTTCTTGGCCACACCCCACCCCCACTCCTGCTGGTACACTCACCCTGCCCTCAGCTCACCTCAGCGAGCGCAGTTCCTCTACCAGGGGCAGGTGGGAGATGCGGACGTGGATGTGGCTAGCGATGCGGTCATACTTGGGGTACATGGCCAACACCACCTCCAAGGCAGCCTCATCAAAGATCTGCAGCAGCTCTGCTGGCGCCTCTGGCAGGAAGTAAGCCAGCACATGCTCCCTGGCTGCCAGGTCCTCATAGTTCACCACCAGGCTCTCGCGGTTCTCTAGAGGAAGGTGACAGGACAAAGAGTAAGCATCAGGTCCAGGCTGGGGCACAGGAGGTGATTTCTTCTCACCACAATGCCTGTGCGAGGAAGGAGGGCTGCTAGTCTAAATCCTTGACTCCGAGTCGCAAAACCCAGCTCTTACCTCTGAGTCAACCATGTTTTACCTACATGACTTAGAAAAGTCACAAATCCTGAGCCTCAATTTCCTGTTATGTAAAATGGGGATGTCACATAGCTTACAAAATCATTGGAAGGGATTCAACGAAATAATATACACATAGTGCCTAACGCACCAGGGGCTGCAAACTCAAAATGCTTACAAGGGCCAGGAAGAAAACACATGAATAGACTACGTCCAATGTAAGACAAAAGGGAGTGGAGGAGACTGCAGAGAACCGAGGTTCACATGCCCCCTTTTAAAATCAATTATTAGCACATAGAAATGTGAGTCCAGTGTTGTTACTTTCTGATGAAAGTAGTAAACTCGCCCATTTTTAAGCATGTCAGAAGCACTTCTGTGGCTCAGACAGTTGGCTGGAGAGTCCCAGTGCAGACGTGCAATACTTTGTGTACTTATCTGAAAGACAGAAGCCCGGGCCTAGTTCTCGAGCTCCTGTCTCACTAAGGACAGGTCACTCGGCGCTCCCTGTATGTCACTTATCTATTAAATGTGCCACTACACAGACAAAATGAGGAGCTCCCGTGGGAAGACCTGGATAGGTGTCAGGCTGGGGCAGCGTGCCGGAGCCGCACCTTTGCACATGTCGCTGATGCGCTCCTTGAAGACGTTGTGGCCGTGCCCGTCCACGTGGGTGCGCAGAAAGTTCTTGAACCGGTGATGGATCTCCAGCCGGGGACCTGCCATGCTCACCCACTCACGCACAGAGTGGCCCTTCAGGTCCTCCAAGTTCTCTATGCTCTCGATCATCTCCTCATCCTCCTCGCCGTCCTCCGTGGCCCGCTCCACTAGGCGGCGTTTCCGGGTGGGGCGCTCCTCATCCTCATCATCACTGTCTGGGGAAGAGAAGGGACACGAGGGGGAGTCTTTTTCAGTGCCTGCTCTCTGCCCCCCGGCACCCCTTCTCAGCCCCACTGGGACCTACCATACAGCAGCCCGCGGCGCATACGGCCCAGGCCCCGGCCAGCCTCCCGGTCCCGCTGCCGCATGGCCCGTTCTGCAGCCTCCCTCTGACTGGCAGTCAATTCCTCCACGTCCTCGTCATCCAGAGCCAACCCCTCGGCCTCATAGGTGTCCAGCTCTGGGATGGCACGGTAGTCCCTGAGAAAGCCCCAAAATCGACACAGTTAGAACCAAAACAACCCTGCCTAGGAACTGCTCCTGCTCCAGAAGACTCAGAAGCCCCAGGCTGGGCAGGCCCAGGGAGCTGCCAGGCCAGAAATACAAAAGGCTTTAAAAGGGTCCAGATAGCTTTAGCATTCAATAAGAAAAAGGAATTGAGAGAGAATCATAAAACCTCCCCTTCAGAAAGGCCATCAGATAGCCAACTTCCCCTAGAGGGCAGGAATTCTCCTGCACATCTCCCACAATGCCACCGTCTACTCACAACCAGACACACCAGCCTCGAAACATCCGCCCACTGTCTCAACCCTCTGAAACCACTCCAAGACCTCCAGACAGTACTGTCCGCATGATGATCATTCAGATAACTGAAGGGGAAATAACACCTCATCAAGGCTCTCGCTGAGCAAAGCACTGTGCTTTCCTCCCAGCAATTCTGGGCGGCAGATGCTCCTGCTCTGTCTGAGAGATGAGGACACAGAGGCTCAGAGAAGGGATGTGCTTTCTGCCAGTGGCCACTCAGCAAAGCTCTTCTGCTGACACCACACTGCCACCCTGAAGACAATCCTCCAGAATTCTCCCTTTCCTCAGGTAAGTTATGATCAGGGAGCTGCTACTGGTTTTTAAAGTACACTCTGTCACACTACACTCTCGGAACAAATATTTCCATGCTGTGACATACACAACCCAGGGCCAGGCAAACCTCTGGGTGGAGTCAGTTCAGAATTCTTAAATGTTCTTAGGGAAAAGGTATCTGCCTGACTCTAAGGATTTTAAGTCCTATGAAATGCTCTCAGCAAAAATCTAATTGGTCCCTAAAAAAAAAAAAAAAACCTGATAAACTGGATTCCATCAAAATTAAAAAAATTTGTCCTTCAGAAGACATTAAAATGAAAAGATAAGCCACAGACTGAGGAGAAAATATTTGCAAATCACATCATCTGAGGAAGGACTGGTATTCAGAATATATTAAAACAAAACCCTTAGATCTCAACAGGAACCCTAGTGGCGTAGTGGTTAAGAGCTCAGGCTGCTAACCAAAAGGTCTGAAGTTCAAAGCTACCAGCCGCTCCTTGGAAACCCTATGAGGCAGTTCTACTCTGTCCTATAGTGTCACGATGAGTCAGAATTGATTCGATGGCAATGGGGTAAAACTCAATAATACAAAGTCAAAAACTCAAAAACTGGGCAAAAGATCCAACCCCACTCTTCCCCCTCAAGGTTCTGAGGTATTTTCGTAAGTGCACTATAATAATTTTTTTACGTTATCCACCCAAGCCTCCATCAAATGATGAATGAATAAAATGTAGTCTATTCATATAATAAAGCATTATTCAGCATTACAAAGGAATGAAGTTCTGATACATGCTACACATGGATGAACCTTGAAAAGGTTATGCTATGTGGAAGAAGCTGGACACAAAAAACCACATCTGTTTGATTCTACTGGTATGAAATGTCCAAATACAGAGACACAAAGTGGATTAGCGATCGTCTGGGGGTAGGGATAGGCATCGGAATTAACACGTATAAAATGGCATGGGAAATCTTACTGGGATGATGGAAATGTTCTAAAACTAGATTGTAGAGATGCACAACTAAGCAAATTTACTAAAAAGCATTAAACTGTACGCTTATGTGGGGTGAAATTTATAAATTATGCCTCAATGAACCAGTTTAAAACACACACATACACAAAACCTAATTGGGCCCAGCTAGTCTTCAGATAAGGAGCCCTGGTGGTGCAGTGATTAAGCAGTTGGCTAACGAAAAGTCGGAGGTTTGAACCCACTAGTTGCTCTGCAGGAGAAAGATGTGGCAGTCTGCTTCGTAAAGATTACAACCTTGGAAACTCTATGGGGCAATTCTACTCTGCCCTGTAGGGTCATTACAGTGGCAATGGGTTTGGTTTTAGTCTGCGGATACCTCTACCCAGAGGCTACCTACAAGGGCCTCTCACTCTCCAGAATCACTGAAGGGAAAGAGAAGGGTCAAGATATAGAGGGCAGATGGCAGGGGTTGGAGGCGCCCTCCTCCTGAACACCACCACAGTCCAGAGCAGGGGAGCTGTCCAGGTCTGATATCCTGACCCTGAGACCAGGACTAGATCCAGAGGTTCCTCATTCCTTCCTAGTCGGGCAAGTACTGCACTTACACCACCTGTGAGGTAGGTTCTATAGGTAGTGATGAAAGCAAAAATCCTGTATGTTTAAGAGTGCCCATGAAAATCCCCCTCCTGGCTCACAGAGGGCACCATCCAGGGCTGTGTAATGGCCTGTCCAGTATTCTCATGCTAAGTTTGGGAACCCTTGAATGACAGTAAAGAAAGACACCAAAGAAGAACCATATGAGGCTTCTGAGCGCGCACACAATTCTGCTACTAAAGTTTCTACCAAATTCCAGTTGTGAATACAGAATAGGGAAGGAGCAGAAATCTAGCCTTGCTCACCTGCAGAGCTTACTTCACTCTGAATACTAAGTCCTGACAGCCTTTAATACATGTTGGTATGTTTATTCTTAAGACAGTTAAGTGAGACAGTAAGTGTGAAAATATCAAACACAGGGCCTGATACAGAGTACAGTGTCTGCTGGTTGAAGCTAAATATTGATTAATCAGACCCACATATACACTGCTTCTTTGAAAAGTTGCAGAGAAAAACACTTGGCTGCCTGCTGCTTCCTGTCTTTACAAGTTGCAGCCCCCAAATCAGAGATCCCTTTGCATTTCCTGGGTGCTGATCTTACGGAGGTGGGCTTACCCATGACTTAGGGTCTAGTCTTTCTAAGTTAGACACACCAAAGTATATTAAATGGACCCGACTTGTAGCTCCATAAACCTGTCTCCCCAGGCCTGGAATGAAAATACCTCTCCATGCCATCTCCGATAAGCTCCTCTCCATCTTCTTCCTCCTCCAAGGGCCCCTCGGTGCCTAGCAGCCCCTCGGACTCATCCTCAAAGGGAGGAAGGTCTCTGCCAGGGCTAGAGGTCAGGGCGTCAGTGCGCCGGGAGCTACGGCCAGGGCTGGAGGTGAGAGGGTCAGTGCCTCGGTGGCGCCGGGCCGGGCTGGACACCACAGTGAAGGACTCTGATGATTCCTGGAAAAGAAGATGCCGCTGTCAAAGACAGGCCAGGTGAGGGCCAACACAGCTTCCCTTTATTATGAGGGGGGGACCTCCCCCATCTCCTGTCCTCTCAGCCTCCCTCTCCACCAGACCCAGTGATGCTGTCTTCAAAAGCACCAAACTCCTTCCATTCAAGACCTCTGTACTTGCGGTTCCCTCTGCTGGCATGCTCTGCCCTGAGTCTGGGCCACTCCAGACTCACATGGCCCTGTGTTTCTCCCTGAGAAATCACTGAGGCTATGTCACTTGTTTATTTACCTGTTTATGGTCTACTTCCTCCCCCTTAACCATACATTCCGCCCATTTGTGCACCCACAATGTGCCAGGCACTGCGCATACCAGGTCTGGAACTCACAGACCAGTGCAGGAGATGGTCAACAAGAGAAAAAGTCAAGAAAATATTACAATAGGAAGGGCATGAAGATGCAGGGACCTAGTGGCTTGGTGTATATCCTGGGCCAGGCATACAGATAGTACCTAATAAGCCTGTGTGAGATGAATAAACGACAGGGCACGGGCGCTCGAGAGCTCTCTCAGGTAGTTTAGCGCTCCCAGGATACTGCCGGGGACCGGGAGCGCCAGGCAAACGCGAACGGGGCGGGGCCCTCGCGCCTTTCAGACTCCGTACGACGGGAATAAAGGGGAGAAACCCCCGCAAACCAGAGCCCGGTGACCCGGCCTCGGCCTGGAAGACCTGACCCCGGACTGGCAGTAAGGCAGGGCCTGAGCAGAGCGAGGCTAGCGGACTAGAAGGCACAACTCCCCGGAGCCTCCCGTGTCCGTTTTCGGTGCTCGCCGGGCCCCAGGCGCCCCACTCCGCTCTCGGCCCCCCATGTAAACATGCAAGCCCCGCCGAGACCGCTCGTCAGCCCCGGTCCCCGCCGCCCCACGCTACGGCCGATCCTCAGTGCAAACGCGCAGGCCTCAACGGGCACCACCCAGGCACCACCCGCACGCCGGTCCCCGCTGGCGCTGCAGCTCACCGCCATAGCAGCGCCGCGCTCCTCTTCGCTACGTCCGCCACAACCAGGTTTCGCGCGAAAAGTGGTTCACGTGACCCGCCGGAGCCCGGGAAACGTCGTGAATAATGAATATGGCGTCATGACGTCCCGCCTTCTATTAGCGTCCAGCCGGCCCGCGCGGGGTGGCCAGTCAGTTCGGCCCCGCCCCCGCGTCAAGTCGTGCTGCCGCGTGCCGGTCGTGTGCCAGCCGTGCCCTCAGGGCTACCCTGACTAC